TAAATAAGCCTTTGAAGTTGGTGAACATTTAGCATGCATGTGTGCAGCGACGGCGCACATACACACTTTGATCGAACGGCAAGTCACCTCTGGTATTCTGGTCCATGTCTCGCATACCTTTTCGATTATGTTCTTTTTCACTTTTGGTGAATCATGTTTGAAAGAAGGACATTCGACTCACGAACACAAGCTGTGAGTAAAAGATCTCACCGAGATAGTGCCATCCTAAGTAACTTCTGAGGTATACATTGAAACGTCGTCAGAACGTTTTGGTTCCGATGAACTTCCCATGTTGAGTCCTTATGCTTAAGCCAATATGTAAGTTAATGCATAACTTCAGAAAGACCAGGTTTCACATCGTTTTGTACCGCGTTTTTGCGCTTATTTTTCTGTGGACGAAACGGTGGGGGCGGATAAATAGTTTAGGCCGCGGATCCATGACATTTGAGTACCCGCATGGTGATCGCATCTCACATAAACTGATTTTTATTCACATTTTTTGTAATATGTGCTAATTTGTCGCTTTCAGTCGTTTTTGTGAAATTTAATTTTTTTATCAGTTGACACTCATTTCTCCCATAAAAACCAACCAACTTGCATAATCTACTGAGTGAAGAAATTTTTGTTTCTGGTAGGAGAATAGATGCACACAGGTATGGTTGTTTTGTTTGCTGTTTCTCCAGATTAAAATGACTGCTGCGACGGTTTGAGCACGTGTTGCGAATGCGTCGAAAAGCAAGGAGAAACAGCTACTAATTGCACACCCGACTGGCCGAAGACCCCAAAGACGACCAGGAATGACCTGAGGCAAATGTCTGGAAGGACTCTGTTCCAAGTTCGGGTTATTTTCTGCCAAAGCTCAAATGCTAGCGCAGAATCGGGAACATTGGAGACACTGTCTAACACGTCCGCTTCCTTGACCCGAAAGGATAAGCGGTCATCAAAACTGGCTGGCTGAAAAGCACTTGCAGTCATTAGATCAGGTCTAGTTTATTTCTACTATTTGCAGATAGGAAATGCCGCCTTTCGGCAAGTGTGCAGAAAATGAAGCTCAAAACAAATAGTAAATAAGGAAGACCATGTATAAAACAACAGCATTCATGAAAAATTTGACTGGACCAGGCTTCTGAACGTGGCGGAAACCAGTTTGTGCTCAGTTATCACATTCAGTAGTCTATTATTAGATGGGTCAAGAAGAATTGCAGCTGTAGAATGCATGCATCCGACATCATCCCTGTATTTCTCCCTCCATGCTGCTGTACACTAGGACACCTT